TGTGTGCGTGTGTGTGTGTGTGTATAAACCCACCAATGACCGCAGAAACCCACAAAATAGTGCGTTACAAAATGCGTTAATGCTCTGTTTGAGATACTGAAAATGCGTCCAGTGCAGGCAACATCTCTGTGCAACTGATACTATTATTTGAGAGTGATTTATCTTGGGCAGAAAGAGGAGCAACGAGTCAACGACTGCCCTGAACGAACAATCATTTGGAAAGCGAAGATAAATTATTTTTTCATCAGCTTGTTTTGGAAAGAGATTTACGGCACCTTCAGCACAAAAATTCATATAAGTAGCGAAGATTAGAGGTGTTAAAAGAGAGTAACAAACACAAAAAAGAAGGAGAGGTAAGGACGACAGATGTTTCATAGGAAAGAAGGAGCAAACCACACCAGAGTACCCGCCAACCACGTATTTCTCATCAGCACGTGTGGCGAAATCCGTAAGATTATTCGTTTTAGTACGAGTTTTACGGCACTTGCAACACAATGAGGTCATATAAGTGCCGAAGATTAGAGGTGTTACAAGAGAGTAACAAACATAAAAAAGAAGAAGGGGAGATAGGGACGATAGATGTTTGATGGGAAAGAAGGAGCTAACCACACCAGAGCACCCGCCAACCACCCATTGTAGGATTATGCGTGGAATATTACAGACACTTTATAAGAAAGTTAGTGATCTTTTAACTCTACAAGTGATATTGATAATATACTGACATTAGATGGAAAAACGGCACACTGCATGTTTGTGGAGGCACAACAAGAGCTGTCACTTCTCGGTGTGAGTGTTTCCCAGATGTGTGCGATTAAAGTCAATAACAAGTTATCTGGGAGAATTCAGGGTTATACCAGAAATTAAAACTTACGCAGCTGCTGTATCATTTCCAGTTTAAACTATCGTCGAAATCCGAGTACAAATATGATAATTTATTATGGTTTTTTTTACCCTACCATAAATCTAAGAAATGACCACTCAAACTGGATTTAGGACCAGCGATGCTGCATTTATAGAGTGTGTTTTAGATTGTCAGGGTTAGTTAATATACAACCACATTGTCAAAATTGCTTACTTTTACATACCTTGTTTTGCATTTTCTGTACTTATGTTTAGGAATGCTACTTGTATTCAAAATAAGCTAAAATAAACTAAAATAATATGTTTCATAGGGGGGGGGGGGAATTATGAATGTCGTCACTTTAAATGTCATTTATTTTCTTTGTTGTATGTTGTCTCTGTCCCACGTCATTTAAATGGCCATAGCTTTCGAACCTTTATAAGGTATTGGCATGACACAAGTTGCCGATTAATCTGAGAGAGTCCTAAATCGGAATAAGTGCAATATCTCATTTTGCAAATAATATTGATCCTTGAGAAAGATGTTCTTGTGCCACCACATAATATATAGGTTATGTAATCAAGATACAAGAAGAACTACATTTTTTCCTTAATAAATGAAGTTCATCGCCAGTCAGCCACTGAGCACCTTAAGCTTTAAGGTTTTAAACACTGTTGCTTCAAAATATTGAGTGCACCTTAAGCATGCTTTAGTTTCATACTGATTTGTGTGTGTGTGTGGCGGGGGGGGGACTTTTGCCTGTAATTTAATTGAAGAGCAGTACGTCATATCACGAAAAAAAAACCAGGTCATCAATAGAGATGACACAAGTAACGACAATGATCAAATAACGAGCTATTGGAATCAATAGAGATGGCACAGATCAAATATTTGCCAAAAGTGGAGTCTAGAAATTGATCTCTGGCTCAATGAATTTATTGATCAATTTCTCAGCAGTGAGCTAAAAGAGACTTCTTTTTTTGAGTGATTCGAAAGTATTCTGGTTTTGTTTCGTTTTTGTTTTTGTTTTGTTTTCTGTTCGTTTGTTGGTACTTTGTGGAAGGGCTTTTTCTTGTTTCGTGTTGTTTGTTTGTTTTGTGGGGGGTTTTTGTGAGGCTTTTTGGGACTTGCAACCAGAAATTGAAACTTTTATTCACTAGGTGTACATTTTGTAACGCTGTGATAGTGCAGTCTTATAAGAAATGTTATTTTGTGAATCAGTTTGATATTGGGCGAGTCTGACTTCGGTCATTGACGCAGCACACTGTGCAAAATACGTGTTCTTCTCTCTCTATCACACACACACACACACACACACACACACACACACACACACACACACACAC